TCAAGGAGCTTCGAAGGAGCGGCAGGGAAAGATAGCGCTGGAGTTGAAACGCCTAGATAAACTGGCACAAAACGGGAGGTTGAAAAAACGCCCGTGTGTGCCTCTGCTAGTCGGGGTTCGGGCCACCAACATAACTGGACCGGACATCCCAATCTGCTTGATGGCAACTTTTCGAGGCTCACTACTCAAAAATCTTCCAGAGCTTGTGCAACATTTTGCGATTCCAGTTGAGACAGGATCTCGAGACTGGGACATTCGCACCTTCGGTCGAGGACAGATTCTTACTACAACGCCGCAGTGGAAGCCCAGCCAGAAGAACAGAACCGGCAGCCACCGGATGATCTGCTTTAAATTCCCATCAAATGAACGCGCCCTTATTGGGAGATGCAGAGTCCCCTCAATTATGATGGAGCAGTACTACCATCTTTGCTCCGAACAGGTAGAGCATTTGGTGGACCTGTGCAAAGAAAAGGAAGAGTTTTATAACGACAAAGCGAGATGTCCAGAGTTTCGAGATCGGATGTGGGATAGTACGATGGCTTATATTGAACATTTGAAGAGGAAAGCTGGGTGAGTGGCGTCGAGTTCTGTTATTGTCGCGTGAAATCTCTCACCTACCTTCGCAGTTCTCCACCAACTTCAGATGATGACTGCGAAAATCAATGATTCAGAGCGATAAAAGCTATCATGAAGCTTGAAGCTTGATGGGCTTTGGTGATAATCTCGTAGAGATGAATTTGCTTAGACTGGGAACTAACGATGCCGATGTACAAATTTGAAGATAAGATAAGATATCAGTTAATGAAGATAAGATAACCCCTTACTCTATACCATCATCCTGCAGTGAGTAGCGTTGTAGTCGCCCACGCCCTAGCTGCCGTATGCCCAAGTTCTATGTAAATAATTGTTGGCACAACTATGGTACCGGCGCACACGAACAGAAACGACCAGAGCCTGGACCCAAGGTTACCGACAAACTTGATGAACCCTTTTTCCGGAGCTGTAACCGAAGGTCACTTAGCTATTCCACCAATGCTTTGGAACTCAACTTCGACCTCCTACACTCCCTTTTTCTCACCTCGTGCTCCAAATTTCAGCTCAAATAGTTTCCAGAGCTCAAGTACCACCAGTGCACTAGTGATGTCGGATCCGGAATCGAATTTGCAGAACATGGCTTTCAACTCCACTTTCCAGCCTGATTTTAGCTATTTGAATCTGCCACAAATGTATCAAAGCTTCTTTAACAATAATGAAGGACATCAGGATGTTCGGGGTGATAAGGAGCAAATTCAGAACTTCCCCCAGTGGCGAGACAGTGGATGGGAAAGGCGGGATAGCAGAAGATCAATGGACAGTAGTGCTTTACATCGGAATAGGTTTGACAAGGATAGTTATGGCGGGAACGGAAATCTCAACGAGCGTGATACCGGATATCGCAACTCCCAATCAAGCGGAGAAGTGATGAATAAAGTAAGTACCAGTCTCTCAATATGTGAATATGGCACTGATTTATAATAGCCTTCGTCTTCAATGACATCCAGTGTCCAACCTTTCCTTCTCAATTCACAAATCACCAACAACAGTACTGGTTCAGGCTCGAGCGGAAGGGGAGAGAAAGGACGATGTCGACGCTGCAAGGAAGAGCATAATACAGCTCGGTGCCCCACACTTCTAACTAACCAAGTTCCCACCGCTGGAACTGCTGTCGGCCAAAATGAACATTCTCAATCGCGTGGTTTTCGAGGGTCTGCTAACGATCATCGATATAGCCCTGCGGTAAGCTCATGTTCGCAACACTGTTCCAGCAGCGTATCTAACGATCGTATCTAGAACCATTCCGCTGCAACGCATGAAATGAGCTCAAAGGATGCTCTCACTTTGGCTCAAAGACCCAGACAACCCCTCCCCCCTTTCCGAAACCCGAAACCGACTAACCAAATGACCAAATTAGCGCATGCGGAAGATTTACAGCCAAACGAGGGGTTCACCGGCGTAAAAACTACGTCAGCACATCACGGCGAGGTACCAAAGGTGCTTCCAGCTGGGAGTCGAAATAACCGACGGGGAGCTTGGATAGGACCCAAAAGAGGTGCACCATGGCAAAGGAGAGGCGGGAAACCTATTGGACGCGGAGGTTTTCGTCCTCCAAATGCTCCGCACTTAACTCCAGAAGCTCCTTCTACTCCACATTTTCTCCCTTCCGATGCTTTAAATAAGGCGATGAATAACTCGAATCTTGTTCCCCAGAAACGCAAGCTTTTAGGATCTGGTACGGACCCTGCAGTTTCGTCATCTGGTTCTTCAATCTCGTCTGCTGCAGGACCTAGTTCAGGGAGGGACTTTTCCCATTTACTTCCTACTGTAAAGCGACGGAAGGGACAGGATCAAGGGCAGGAAGCTCGGGAGCCTGTGCATTCAAAGAGCAGAACGGGAGATGGTGGCGTTCAGGGTGAACAAGTGGAAGAGTGGTCTGGCAGAGGTGACGGAATGCTTCCTGAGGATGGAATCCACGAGGGCCAATCAGAGCAGAGGCCCGACGTTGTCAGCATCAAGGCTGAACCAGTCGAAAACGAATACCAGATTTCGTCTGCCAATATTATTTCGACCTCATTGCCACCATCTACATTAGACGCCATTTCTCCACAACTTCCAGAGAATCCAAATCCTTCGAGTAGTCAGGTCAGCCAGGCTGCTAATGCTGTTACTCCTATCACTGTGAAAGATGAACCGCTGGACCTCGACATTTCTTATACTGAATCTTCCGACTTCAGCCAAAATTCTGGGACAAAGCGGTACCATCCTGTTCCCCCTTCCTGCCATAAATTTTACTCTATCGACTCCAACACTAATTCGCAAGCCCCTAGCACGAGTTCGAATGCAGAATCGCCTTCCGAACATCTTGTTCCAAATCCGCATGTGAAGACCGCTCGCGCTGCGTTCTCTGCACAGGCTATCGAAGAGCTCCGTGCCAAAGGTTTGGTTGTGATAAGGGTTCTTTGGCGCCCGGATGGAATGTGTATTGATTGGGAGAAGCCTCGGTCGATTCCACAAGGGAAAAAGACTAGAAGGGGAGGGAAGAAAGTACCGCCAAAGAAGCAGATTGTCGGAGGGAACCGGACGAAGGAGCCCGAAAAGGTCATTGGATTAGTGATGAACGGCTTGTTTACTATGGATGATGAGGACGTCAAGCCTCGTTTCGATGCAGATTCAACCATCCTTGAATCTTCTGGGACTTCCTCGGCCCCTAGTGAGCCTCTCCGCTCGACACCAGTGCTGCCAGTTGCCAACGTTGACGTTTCAGAAATCATCGACCTCACTTCGGACAAAGACGAGCCTTCTAATTACCTATCCACACCACACGCCGACTCTGCCCAGGCAAAGTCTGTCCCACCGCCCTCTTCTTCTCTCAGTTCTCTTGACAATAGTCCCATGAAATTAGACGTCGAAAGGAAAACAAACAGTCATAAATATGACCCTCCACTTGTTGTTCGTCTCGGTTCTGGACGCTCGAAGACTCAAAAAATTTCTCCCTCGCCTGCGGCGTCGACTAAACCAAAGAGTTGTGCTACCTCGGGCGCTGTAGGTACATACCCTGGCTCTCCTTCTATTTCCGTTGTCTCCCGGCGTGCAACACCAATTTCTGGAGCTGCCCACGAATCTACCGGCAAATTTTTGGATAGTTCGCCACATTCGAGTCGCCAAACTCAATCGTTACCTCCGGCACCACCCTCAGTCCAGAACCCACTTCCCCTGCTTGTTAATGTTTCGAAATCATCTCAACCTCCTCCCTCCTCTGCAGATCCTGTATTGCATAATATTCCTGTGGAAGTGGACAAACCCAGCTTTTCCTACGAATACGAGATTGATGGTGTCCCGGTGATTGACACCGATATTGTGCGGCCCAACCCAGAAACAGGAGATACGGAAGAAGAGGAGATGCAAGTACTGGGAGAGCTTAGTTATCCAGCTAGTTCAGATATGGATAATTCGCTAGACTCGGAAGATCTTACAAAGGGACTGGAGTATGCTGCTGTTCATGGGGTATCGAACACTGAGGGAGATATGGAACACGAGTCTAGAGGACCTGGCGCGCGAAGTACCAGTGTTCAGACATCTGCAGATCTCGAGAAGACTCCAGATGCCGGAGATGCGACAAAAGCTCCTCGGGAAGGAGATAGATCCAAACTAGACGGTAAAGCGGAATTGGAGCAACGAGCGATCGACTTTCTTCACCAGTAAATTTCTTTTCTTTTCTTCTTTTACAAGTTCAAATCCTGACTCTGCCCACAGGTATATTCGCACATGGGAATACGACCGTGCCGGCTTGAGTCGCGCTTATGCCGCCAATGCCGTATTCACCTGCTCTGTCGTGCTCCCGCCATCTTCGAGTCTTTCGCCCGCTGTGAGCCCAACGCAGGCATTTGCATCGCATTTTGTCACTTCGATCTCTGCGTTCATTCCCTCGTCCTTATCTTCGACTTCATCTCGTCTACTCCAACGACCTCCGGTTCCAATACAGACACCTGCTATCATATCTCCTGCTCTTCTTCTCCTGGACCCACAGCGGTTGTTTACTTTTTTTCCTCACGGGGAACAAGCACAGTTGGCATATGAAGCATTATATCTGGGAGATTTTGACAGTTCGCTACCTCTTCCAGCGAATCAATATGTTCAGCTTTACGGACAGGTGGAGATGAGGCGTCGACTGGCAAAGTCCGCGCAAACAATGAAGGGCAAAGAACGCGCTAGAGCTAACGAGGACGAGGAGACCCTCTCTATTACTTGGACCTTTCTTCTACGTGCGGATGCAAGCAAGAAAATGAGTGGTGAAGATAATGAATTTCCAATGCAAATTATGACACATCAGATGGAGGTCAGGGATGGACAATGAATGGGACTTCGTACATATCTAATCTGCATATAAATTTGTACTAGAATGAGCTCGCATATTTCAAACAATGCCAGCGCCAAAATAAAAAGGATAAAAAATATAATATCAATGGACACACTGGGAATTGAACCCAGCACCCCCCGCATCTCACACATCGTGCTAAGCGGATGTGATAACCAACTACACCATGTGCCCATGTTAGGGAGCAGCCCATTTTAGCTATAGTAAAAAAGGCCAACTGGGAACCAGGTTATCACACTTGCAATTACCCTAACTAACGCTTGCTGCTTCTCAAATTCTTTGTATCGGACTTCCTTAAGAGATGAAGCCAAGATGGCGAATAAAGTCCCAGGTTTCCGTCAGAACCTAGAAGGGAGCGGTTTGGGATTCGACTCCGGGAGGCACAATGTACGTGGAAATGGCAGGAAAGGTACGCATCTTCGAAATGTACTCTATAGGTATCCGTCGCGTCGAAATAACATGTCGCTGGATTGTAGAAAAAATTTGAGAGTTAAAGAGGCGTAAAGCAAGTATGTAGGCAAATTTGTTACAGAGAAAATCGTTGTGCATTAATCGATAAGAAAAAGAAAGAAGGAAACGTACCGATAACTGTGCTACCTACCATTAAACACCCCTCCGATTCAGTAAGGTGTACCCTGTCAATCTCATCTGTTATCCTCTGATAGTCGCTCAACGCCCAAATTGAGCAAAGGATGGACTAGGATGACTTGGCCATTGTGGTCTCTTTCAAGAGTCTCTCCCCAATAACAAAGCCAGTCATCTTGATATTCAGGTAACGGACTGAATGGAGCTTGTAGAACGGGATAGTTTGGGGGTGGCGCGTTTGGCATTTTGAAAATGTGGGTGGTGAAGCGGGTGAGTGACCGGGCCAGCGGGCCGCCACGATGAATGCATGGGACACGACACAGAGAATTACATGTTATAACGCTTTACTTTACAATCATAGATACAATCGTTTCAAATTCCTAATTAACGCGAGTCTTGAAAGCATGGTAAGTCGTTATGATCATGGGCGAACTATACATAAGGACCGCACCATTCCAGCAAATCAAAACCAGGCTTTCTTCCTCTGGTTCCACAGATAAAGCGCATGTATAATCCCGCCAATCCAGAAGAAGAACGTGAGCAGGATGTTAATGAGGATGTCGGAAACAGGACGCTTCATCAAGAAGACCGCAACAGGAGGAAGAAGAATAGCGCACTGACATAGATAGTTCTTTAAGTATGTTTTGGGGCAAAGAGAGTCAACAACGACATACTATTATAATAAGAATATCTTCGTTATTAACGGCCATCTCGAGTTGGCAAGTCTCTGTCCTACGGGTAGTCTTGAAAATAAAAAGAAACTCGACGGCATTATATAGCTTCAGCACGGTTTCATAGCGTCATACCATACCCACTCCATGTGTTTGGTGCCTATCATCAGTGTGGCGCAGATATGTATATGCTCCTCAGCAGGACCATGTCGCGTAATAACTAACGAGAAAATCAGTGCTCCCGTTCTCGAAGTACTCTTTGTGGATAGGAACTTTCAGGATGGTCTCCGATATTCTGTTCCATGATCAAGCAAGGATACGTAGTATACTGTAATTTATCCAATTGTCTAGATGGAAATAAAAATCCCGTAAAATAACCTAAAAACGCTGCTTTCGCGCAGCTCGCCTTTCTGCATCTTTGCATCTTCGACTCGCATCCTCTATAGCTTGCATCCAGACTGAAAGCACGTTATTTTTTTTTCTCACGGCTGAGTGGGAGCACTCACCTTGGCAATCTCTTGCCGATGTAGCTCGTAATCCGATTGCCTCTCCACCTCGAGGATAAGGCAAGGTGACTTGGAAACTGAGGTCGTCTGTAGAATCACGCGTTACATCTAGTGTTTTGCTCCATGTTTGATTTTCATACCTCGATTTCCGGGGAGATCTTTTACTTGCGCTTCGGACAAAGCAATAGGCTAGAAAAATTTAGTAATTGCGGGAAAACTTGAAGATACAGCGGTACCCACCATTCGATACAGATTTCGGACCTTGTCGTCTGTTAGCACGAGGATGTCACTGCACAAGAAGGCATGCAACTTCCGTCCACTTTTTGCCTTCATAAGAACGCCTTCCTTCAATAACCGGCGTGCTCCCATGTATCGGGTCGGGGCCGTTAGATCAAGTCGTCTATAAGAGATTTATCAAACAGGAACTTTATAAAACACATTTGTAGACTAACCCTTGTCCTATCCATAAATGCTGGGAGATGCGCTTAAGGGTCTCCTGCCCCTCTTGAAATCGGATTGTTTCGTTGATGTGATTCAAGATCTTCTCAGCAGTCAATACCGATTCATCAATTGCCGCTTTCTCTTCTCCAGCTGAAGTATAATGGGATATCTGAACAGAAGGTCGAGATATAAACATTCAGCGCAGGACATTCGATGATATATCTACGTACCTGCCGAATGAGAAGCGGATACCTTGTGATACGTTGCACTTGAAAATCATCCGTTCAGCATCAAATACTCTGAAAATCTACACTAAACTCACTCGGTATTAGTAGGTAGCTAGATAGATCCAAGCTCCTGGCAGATGGGCCATCCCGGATCCGTTGAAGAAGAGCCGCAACGTCTGCATTTGAATCACGAATATCTTGCAAAACTTTGATGGCGTTGCTTTGATTGACGCAATATTCCTGCAAAAGCAGACTGAGAGCTACGTCCTTGCTTGCCTAGTCCAGTACCAACCATATAAACACCCATACCGGACATGTAATTTAGAATGACGTCGCCTATGCGATCAATGTAAAGCCTGCAGTCTTTCTGCCTTTCTTCCAGCGAACTCATAAAGGTCTATGTAGCGGAAATCAAGAGCCCATAACATATCTCTAATGGAAAACATACAATGTTCGTTAGGAGGATATCCTCAATGTTGGCGAAAATCACAGTTATAGCCTTTCGGTCGAGCAGCGGTAACAATTTGGAATAGAATTCCTTGGGGCGAGGAGATAAGAAAGAAAGCCGGAGCGTAAAATGATAGCATACCTCCACGATGAGCTGTAGATCTCGAACATACGCGTTTTCCGTGGCAATGAGCTCGAAGATAGCCTAGGACAGTCTCTCAGTTTCGCAAGTCAGTATTGTGGAATTTTTTACTTACCTCCTGTCGACGTCTCTCATTTGGTGGAATACCATCTAGCGCAGATTTATCCACCAGGCTAGCCCACGACTGGGATTTTTATGTAGTAACAGCGCGTTTTAGGGATAAAAGAACTCACACTACCGAAGGCGGGACTAGTCGAGCGCGCCGGATCATCGCTCGGCGGATTACTCAGTATGGGAGCCGAAATAGTAAGAGTGCGCCGAGGCTCCGAGTCCACCGGCGTTTTGGCTCGGCCCAGGAAATTGAGAATGGCTGAATAGGACCGAGATTCACTCTCTTTCGAAGGAGCAGCCGACATTGCCACGGAAGTCGTTGGCGACGAGGTCGTCGTCTCAAAGGATGCCACAGAGAGGCGGTTGCTTCCCATGTCTGACTGGGCAAGACGGAATGCTTCATACCTCTCGAAAGCATCGTCCAGGCGAGTCGCGTTCGATTCTGCTTCCGGTACTGGCGGGAGGTCTTTTGAGGAGATTGATGATATAGACTGTCTTTGCGGAGCCGCAGGGGGTGGCCGCCTCGGTTTCCTTTTGGGAGGTCTTGGAGGGGGTTTCGCATCCTTCTTCACGATTAAACCAGCCGCTTCAAGGACCATCTGACGTTCGTGCTCACGGGTGTTGCGCTCTTCTTGAGTCTCGGGCACAGCACTTCCCTCATCGTCGCTGTCTTCAAAAGAATTATAATCAGAGTCAGAGGATTCACTGGCATCGTCTTCATCAACGTCTTTTCGGTCAAGCACGTTCTGACCTGGGCTCTCGCCCGTCGTAGCATCATTAAGAGAAACTGAAGCGGTGTTTAATTCCTTATCCGCCGATTCTCCTGAAACCTGTGACGCTGTAGTAAGACTGGCCGAATCTAAAAGTCGTATAAATCCATTCATTCCATTTATTTGAAGATTGTACATGAAAATGAAACCAGAAAAAAAAGGAATTTTAGCCTGTTGTTCACATGACCATAGGGTAAACAGAAACGTTTTGGGGGGAATGGAGAAAATTGGCTAACCTTCGATCTGTTCTAGATAACCTGCTGGCACGATGAATACTACGCCGCCTTGTTCAGCTTTCCACCAGTCCTCTTCGCTCTGATCAATTACGGTAACTTCATCTCCTTCTGCCATCGAAAGTTCATCGGGGTTTGCTCCAGTGTAGGTGAAAAGAGCCTTGGCTTTGACTATTCCGGAAAGTTCGGACAAACACACGAGACAAGAGTATAGACACATACCTCGCGTTACTTCCTGTACGTACGTCTTTGGGAATAAACCTCTCTTGCCAGTGCAATCGAGAACACCATACCACCAATCACCGCCCGTTTTGGAAGGATGAGCAGTGATCGTAAGGTTTTCTCCAAAGCCTACAAAGATCATTGACACAGAAACTCGATACAAAGTTGAGATGCTTACTCAAATCTTCGGGACCATCACCCTGGAACGGGTAAAGAGATCTCACAGGGAATGCTGGGGAGTAAGAGGTCATGACAATTTCACTTTTGTAAAACGAACCACGCACTAGTCGCCATATCGATGTCAGCCATCAAGTCTGAAGCTGGTTCTGCGACAGTATCGACTTGAATATCCGGGATCGCCGCATGCTGTTCGACACGCTCTGGCTCTGGTTCCGCAGATTCGTATTCAGCGTCCTCAGAGATGGTCGTCGGGACCGCCGGCGGAGGTGGCACTCTTCCTGCATCCGCCGCCATACCAGCATACCAATCGACTGACTGACGGTTATCCCTCGAACTCATTGCAGGGGGCTCAGGGGATGCCATTATCGGAGGCGACGGAGGTTTAGGAGCATTGGTGATGTGCTCCGGAGGAGCACTGTCACCCAGGACCTTACCAGAAAGCTGAGGTCCGCTCTTATCGACGGTCTTAGTAGGTCTTAAGCGGGCACCACCTTGGATTGCAGAAAAAAGTGCACCTCGATCTCCTGCAGGTGCTGCAGGGGCAGGAGGACCTCCGCCAACCGCGGGAGGAGGAGGCGGAGGCGCTGGAGCTGTAGGAGGTGGAGGCGCCACGGCAGGTGGCGGAGGAGGGGGCGGAGG